TTTTGCTTATGAAAATATGGCTTTAAGTGTCCTCTATACGATGGTGAAAACCGCAGGCCGCTAAGACCTTTCGTTAAAAAGTTATTTGAAAAACGGCAACCGGCACGACCTTTCCGTTTCGATAGTAGTAGTCCAATTTTTTCACAATCTAACTCAATCATGTCTAACTCCTGGAGCAAGCTTGTTAGATTTACAATGAAAGCCTTTAGACGGGAAATTCGCTAAATAAGGCTATTTGTCGCATGAGTTAGAATAAAGTGCCTTGTGTCGAATTTAAGAGAATGTTGTCGTAGCATTTGACTATAACTAATCCTTTATTTTTTCTAAAATAATATTTATTGTTGAATTTGTATCATTCACTGTCCATCATGCATGTTCCATTGATCTGTAAAATGTACGAATACCTCGATTCATTAATTTTCTACTCATATCTGCGAAATATCTCATGAGTAGTGGATCACTTCGTGCTATTCGTTAGCGTTCTGCTCGTGGAATAGCTTGGATACACTCACGAATAAATGATTTACATGTGAATAAGAGGCGTTCCACAAGTTGCGAAACAATTGCTAGACAGAAGTTGAACGTGAATTTAATTTATTTATGCATGATCATCATGGTCAGGTTTTTTCGACAAAAGACTACCAACCTACTTTAGTTCATATTACCCTCTCTTCATTCCAGGGCGAAAATCAGTATCTTTTTAAAAAATGCATTTTCTGGTTGAAAAAAATTCATTTCTAAAAATTTTTTCAAAAAACTAACTCTCTCAATCGATTCTCCGATCCCGAGTACCTTTGATCAAACTTGAATGTTTTAGAATTCCTAAGCTTTAATCTTTGACCTTTGGCCTTGACGCACACATACATACATAACATTACAACAAACGCATTTTTTTTCATAATATCCTCCCTTCAGTCGAGGGAATAAACGAAAGAAATTGGTATAAAAGAAATAGACTTGTTTACAAGCTTTACTTTGAAGAAGTGCTGAGAGTCAGAGTCAAGATCGCGAAATTAAACACTAGCATATAGAAAAATAAGCAATTTAATAGCCGAAAATATAGAAAATTTAACGCAAAAATTATAGTTAGTTTAAAGCCAAAATGTTACATGAAGACAGTCCATGTAAAAAATGTTTTAGGAAAAATCAGGTTCAAATCCAATTTTTCTCAAGATATTGATTTAAATCGGATTTTTCATCAAAATTTTTATATGGAAGACAGACAGATGATTGAAGTTATTAGATCCTATCGTTTCACTCTAGAGAAAAGGTCGAATGTCATTGAATAAACAGGATTAACTTTGTGTGTCAACATAAGCTATAAAAACACCGATCTTGCTTGTCACGGAGTCTCCGACAATAATATCCAGGTTGCCGTCCCCATTGACATCGGCTGCTACCAAACCCCATGGTTTAAAGTCAGTTATATAGGATGTTGGAGCAGCAAACGTGCCGTTTCCTTGGTTAAGATAAACATAAAGAGTGTTTTCTTCGAGGTTTGTAACAACAATATCTGGTTTTTTGTCACCATTGACATCGACTGCAATAACATTGTTCGGGTAATTACCACTTGGATAGCTCGTTTGAGTAGTAAATGTGCCGGTGCCTGTGTTGAGGAGAACGCCAATCTGGTTCGCGTGGGCGTTTGTGACAACAATGTCGGGTTTTTTGTCGCCATTGACATCGGCTGTTATCACATAGGTCGGTAAAGGACCGGTTGCATAGGTTGTTTGAGCAAGAAACGTACCAGTGCCTGTGTTGAGAAGAACACCAACAGTGTCCGAGTGTACGTTTGTGACAATAATGTCGGGTTTATTGTCACCATTGACATCAGCTGCCGCCACACAATTTGAGAAATCGCTAGTTGAATAGGGTGTTGGAGCAGCAAATTTGCCTTCTCCTATATTCAGGAGAACACTGACACTGCTGTCACAGTTGGCGACAATAATATCAGGCGAAATGGTTCTCGCGCATGCTGTTCTCAAATAAACGCAGACATGATTTCCGTTGAGAAATGGTCGACAAGTGAGAGGATGCGGATGGTCCACCCGACCTCAACAAAACTCCACGTTATTGTTTCTTCACGATTACTTGAGAAGGGTTGGTGGAGACATGATTGAATGATGACTGTGGCCCTCGGTGGTCGTTATGCTACTCGGCGTAGTTGTTATCGACGATGATGCCAAAGAAAATGGAAGGAATTCAGGTTTTTAGCGGAATTCTGACCCATCCGTGCTTTATTCCAACACAGTATTGAATTTTGACTAGCAAGTATTGTGGTAGGTGATTTCAATGGTGATCACAAAGTTGATCTGACCGTTGCAAATTCTATTTCTGGCGATGTCGGTATATTGCTCGCGAAAGGGAATGGAACGTTTCAAAGTCAGATAAGATATCCGTCCGGGTCCGGTTCACATTCTGTTGCAACCGGTGATTTCAATGGTGATAACAAAACTGATCTGGTTGTTGGAAATGGGGCTGGCAGTGTAAGTATATTGATCGGTAACGGTAACGGAACATTTCAGCCTCGAAAAACTTATCTAACTGGGTCGGATGCATTTGGTGTTGCAACAAGTGATTTCAATGGTGATCAGATAATTGATTTAGCTGTTGTTAATGTGCGTGATAACACATTTCTCAAGTGAAACATGTCTGCATTCACATGAGAGCCATTTCGCAGTTTAAAGGTAGCAAGAAAATGCGAATATGGAAAAACAGATAGAAAGAGTTGCTTTTTCAACATTGTGGCTTTTGTTTCATGGAGAGTTGATCTTAGTCGTACTTGATTTGATGACGCTCATAGACCTTTGAAACTTCGGTTTTTAAATTCTTTCAGACTCATTTGTCGATGTCCTTTTTCGAATTTTGAAACTTCTGTTCTGGCTCTTGAGCTTTTAGTAAGGCGGTTGTTTTGCGGACTTTTTTCCACCTAGAATCGCCTGACTCGTATGTACGACTGTTCCGGGATCTGAACCATTTCTTGGTTATGATGACATGGTCAAGCTGAAATCGGAGCCCTATTGGGCCTGTTTATGTGAACAGCCTCGATTTTCTGCTCGAAAAATGTAAGTGCACAGGTTCGAGGTCAGTGACTTCACACAGATCAACAAGTCCATTCCCGTTGTCGTGCGATTCGCCGTAGTAGCTGTACCTACCAGGTGAGTATTCTCGTTTCGCATGATTGCAGATCGAGTTTAACCGGAGCTTAAGGGGCGACGACAAAACGTAGATGAAACTTTGCGCTCAAAATTTGATGAGCTAATGTCGATGGAGTCGTATGCTCGACAGCTGTTCCGGGAACTGAACCATTTCTTGGTTTTGATGATATGGTCAAGCGGTAATCGGAGCCGGGTTGGGCCTGTTTATGTGAACAGCCTCGATTTTCTGCTCGAAAAATGTGAGTGCGCAGGTACGAGATCAGTGACTTCACCCAGATCAACAAGTCCATTCCCGTTGTCGTGCGATTCGCCGTAGTAGCTGTACCTACCAGGTGTAGCTAGGTCAAACCGCCACTTGCTTCTGTGCGCCGCCGTCCAATGTGGCCGGGGTGCAGTGCTGGGTACATCCTAAGTTTGAACCAGTTTTCCGTCGTCAGTGGCTCGACGGAGATCTTTTCGACGGGACCAAGAGAGAGAAACAGTTGCGGATACAAGCCGTGCAACGAAGTACAGTGCCAACGGCTTGACGAAGGACATTTCGACGTGTACAACATGCTCACTTGTAACGTTTTTCTACTTTCAGACTGCATGACAGACAGTGAGTGTGCCACCAATGGCCATGTTGGAACGGCTTCGTGCAGCACGGGCACTCATAACTGTACATGTAGATACAGCGATTATCACATGGGCATAGAATGTGGTGAGTACTCTCGCATGATTGACCACCGAGTTTAAACAGGGCAATGTGCTTGTTTTCTACGGTGTCGAGGACTTAGTGGCTGAGAAGGTCTGTTGCTGACGAGATTACTATTTTGATGTTTGCTCTCGGCCACATTCAGAATCACTTTTTCATCCTGGCTTTTATTTTCCTGTTGAAAGAGCGGTGATCATCGTTTGCGAACAAATATGCATCAACTTGACACAGCAACTTGAGAAATAGAGAGATCCTTTAACACTGACTCGGGACCAAGAGAGAAAAACAGTTGCGGATACAAGCCGTGCAACGAAGTACAGCGCCATCGGCTTGACGCAGGACATTTCGACGTTTACAACATGCTCACTTGTAACGTTTTTCTACTTTCAGGCTGCATGACAGACAGTGAGCGTGCCACCGGTGGCCATGTTGGAACGGCTTCGTGCAGCACGGGCACTCATAAC